TTGGCTCACTGCAACCTCTGCCTCCCAGACTCAAGCAGTTCTCTTGCCTCAGTCTCCCGAGTAGTTGGGATTACAGGTGCCTGCCACTATGCCTGGCTAATTTTTGTATTTTGAGTAGAGACGGGGTTTCACTGTGTTGGTCAGGCTGATCTCAAACTCCTGGCCTCAAGTGATCCGCCCATCTTGACCTCCCAAAGTGCTGGGATTATGTGTAAACCACCCCGCCCACCCCGGTTCCTTTTTTGAATAAGGAAATGAATGTGTTGTGGTTAAAGGTTAGATTGACATTTCGATGCCCTTGGGGGTTGCCTAACCTTCCAGTATGTGGCTCTTTTCCACATTGACTTTGGTTTGGTTTTCGATGAAATAGCGTTGGACACAAGATTGGCCATGACCTCTGCACTCTGCTTTTCTTGGATAGGTGCCTGAAACCCCGTGTTTCTAGAATTGGGGTGTGCTCAGAGCAGTGTTTGGCTGAGAGCCTTCAAGGGGCTGTGTTTGTGTGAGTGTGTGTGTGTGATTGTGTGATTATCCACTGGACACTAGATTATCCTGGGATTACGTTAAAATGTAGTCATGCCTAAGATTCTTTAGTAAGCAGACAGCTCTCCTGATTAACTCGAGGTATGAGGAAGGTTTATTTTCAGTCAGGTAACTATTTAGAAAGGACTCTTATTTTAAATACTTCAGCATCTACGTGAGACTTCGTATTTGGGGAAGTAACTGAGGTTGGGTTAATTTGAGTGTTAACGCAATTGGACTTGGTTTTCAAAATACACTGTTAACGGTTTAAAACTACATTATGCCCTGGTGGTGCAAAAACATACCTGAAACCTTCAGTGTTGTATCTGCTTTTCTCCTCCAGTACCTTCTAGCCTGTAAGGCAGTGTTTGTAAAACGCATGACTTTTATTGTACTCATAGTTCTGATGTTGAGACTTGGTCATCTCATAATTTTTGAGGTGAAATAATTAGTCGGTTGCATAATTTTTTAAAGAGGTTCACAGCTGGCTATATAACTGTCTTACATCTAAGCCAGGCCACTAGTGATTATTGAGTTTTCCAGTGTTGTTCAAATTTGTGATGAAAGCACTAGTCCCTTGCAGATCTGACTGTTGGACTTCTTGTGTCTTCAAATCAAAACAAACCAAAACTTGGCCAGGCTCTTTCTTCACAGGATAGTTTTTTTTTAAGCCACCTCACGTGGCCCCTTCCCTTTGGCACTTGAGTTTTGTATCAAGTTTAGCTTCTCTCTTTTGCAGTTTGGTTTGCCAGGTGTATGTTTACATGTCTGCTTCATCTTTGTTTTTTTTGAGCCAGAGTCTCACTCTTTGCCTTGGCTGGAGTGAAATGGCGCAGTTTTGGGTCACTGCAACGTTCCCCACCCTTCCACCTCCACCCCTGGTTCAACTGATTTTCCTGCCTCAGCCTTCCAAGTAGCTGAGATTACAGGCACCCACCACTATGCTCAGCCAATTTTTTTTTTTTTGAGATGGAGTTTTGCTCTTGTTGCCCAGGCTGGAGTGCAACGGCGCTATCTGAGCTCATTGCAATTTCCGCCTCCTGCGTAACTGGGATTATAGGCATGAGCCACCATGCCCAGAGTATTTTTAGTAGAAATGGTGTTTCACCATGTTAGCCAGGCTGGTCTCGGACTCCTGACCTCAGGTGATCTGCCCACCTCAGCCTCCCAAAGTGCTGGGATTACAGGCGTGAGCCACCGTACCCAGCCTAATGTTTGTATTTTTAGTAGAGGTGGAGATTGGCCGGGCATGGTGGCTCATACCTGTAATCCCAAGCACTTTGGGAGGCCGAGGCGAGCAGATCGCTAGGTCAGGAGATCGAGAGCATCCTGGCCAACATGTTGAAACCCTGTCTCTACTAAAAAAAAAAAAAATTAGCTGGGCTTGGTGGTGCACACCTGTAGTCCCAGCTACTCGGGAGGCTGAGGCAGGAGAATTGCTTGAACCGGGGCGGCGGAGGTTGCAGTGAGCCGAGGTCACACCACTGTACTCCAGCCTGGTGATGGAGTGAGACTCCGTCTCAAAAAAAAAAAAAAATAGATGAAGATTAACCATGTTGGCCAGGCTGGATCCACCCACTTTGGCCTCCCAAAGTGCTAGGATTACAGGCCTGAGCTACCATGCCTGGCCATCTTTCTTTGTGCTTTCCAAGCATTCTTTAGACTTGTTTCTTGTATCCCTTTTACTATGCTTCATACTTTTTTCCTGTTTCTTCAGGTCTGGGCTTACCTTCATTTGGCTTTTGAAGAGTAAAATATCCTCATTCTCTTTAGAAATAGAAACTTCTTTGTTTAAAACTTAATTAAGCGGCCGGGTGCGGTGGCTCACGCCTGTAATCCCAGCACTTTGGGAGGCCGAGGCGGGTGGATCATAAGGTCAAGAGATCAAGACCATCCTGGTCAACATGGTGAAACCCCGTCTCTACTAAAAATACAAAAAATCAGCTGGGCATGGTGGCACATGCCTGTAATCCCAGCTACTCAGGAG